TACAAAAACATGCTTCAGATCTATATTGTATTTGTTTTTGAAATGGGCAGTTGTTACCAAATCAGAAGTGGCAGCATTAGAATACAGCCTCTTGGCAACCATCAACTTATTTTATGAAACAACAAAATATTTCTATTTCTTCTGCAACTTGATTAGCAAATACTATCAACGATAATAGAAATTGAAACCAAAATTACTTAATGTCCCACAATTTAAATTTTGAATTGTATGCTTCTCTGAGATTCCTACTCGATCATAATTTTAAAGATGCTAGAATATCCAAATCAGAATATTCCTATCTGAAAGCTGTGGATAACCCAACAATATCTGTCATAAACTCATGATTCTCAGTATTTCTTTGTATGGTTGTTAAACTGTATTTCTCACATATGACGAAAAGCAACATGGAACATTAAAAAGCACATTAAAACCCACCAATATAGAAAAAGATAAAGACTATTTCATCTTCACAGTTTCTATTTTGCAGAGAATTTTGAAGGCTTGCTTAGCTATGATATAGAAACTACATGGCATTTGATCTCAACAGAAATTTGTGTGCAGAGGCTCCCTCACCAAATTCATTTGAAGGTTATTCAGCATTTTACACTTGTGAACTCTCAGAAGTTAGAGTTCTAAGGCAGGCAATCACTCCTAGCTCTTGTCATAGGAATAAAGATTTCAAACTGTGAGAAATTCACAAGCTATAGGAGTTCACATCTTATAATCTTATATTAGCAATGGATTCTAAAGCACTCTATTGCTTGACTTCGAGTTTAGCTGCTAAATTACTCAGTGTGAACACAAAAGGCTAAGAATGTGAAAAGGTTTGTTTCTGAATTTTTCTACACTGAAACATACCATAACTTCTGCACTTCAGTGAATTCAAAGCATCAAAACATTAATATTGTAAGAAATTAATTTTTTAACATACTGGATGAAATAATGAAAATATCTTGCTAAACAGAACTTTAGACTCTGAGGACAGGTTCTGTAACCAGAGTTATTCATACTGACTTTTCATTAGTCAATTAATTTCCCTTGGTACATGCTGACTAATATGGTTGTTAGTCCTTACCAGTAATAGAGCTTCAGGTTCAAAACAAAGGATGGCTTTTAATAAAAGTGTTATGTTTTCTCTCAGTGAAAAAAATAATCTACTCAAAAAAATATTACTTAAGTGGTACAAAATTGGGAAGAAAAGGAACAGAATTACAAACATTATTTAGTATTTTGAGGGAAAGATGTTTTTTGGATTTACCAATGATTTCTAGTAATGAAGGAAAAAGAAGAAAATACAAAAATATTTTAAATTCTAATTCAAGGCTTTTGCCAGTATAAAATAGTGACACTAAAGTCCTTTAAGTCGCACTCTGTGGCACAAAAAGTTGTGTTTTTGTTTTTTGACATCAGGTACTAAACCACAGATTATCAACATACAGAAAAAGAGTCCTTACTTGTTTTTATAATATTCCTTAGATTTGGAAAGCATAACAACAAATGAAATTCCTCTTCAGTCTGCCCTCCTTGAGCAATGCTGGATTTTAAAAATGGAAGTAATTTTCCCTTTTCAAATGCACCTTCTAATTTCATAGGCACAATGCCGTTTTCAAGAAGCAGTAGAAAGACTTGAAAAATAACCTTCCATCAACTATTTTAATCATACTCGTAAGTATCTCAATATTTATTACCTGACAGACAGTGTAAGATAAGAGTATGTTCAATTGGTGGAAAATATCAATCAAGTAAAACTTGTCACATATCATCTGAATAAAATTCATAATTGGATAAGTTTTTAGTGTCATTTTTTTGAAATCCTCTTCCAGAATAATGTATTCCTATTTTTTGTGGTTGAGAAAAGAGAATTTTCTTTTTTCTTCATGAACTGTTTGCACCAGAAATTTCACCTAAACCACAAAAAATCTGTGTTCTTTAGTGGACTACAATTTCTTTAAATTATTCTGAAAAAATGCTGTACACAACAAGATTTTTTCTAAATTTGTGTCTTTTACCAAAATACAGCCTTCCAGAAGACTGTGAAGACATTCCGTGTCCCATCCAAAAAGCATCATTTTTGGATAAATACAATTCAAAGTTTTTAAATCCAAGACAATGAATAGCTGGAATAATGAAAGAGCCACATTGGTGGATGTGTATCACAGAGGGAAAAGCATCAAGAACAAAATCACTGTTTAATGCTCAGTAGTCATCAAAGAGACAAAGCAGACATCAGAATGTAGGAAAAGGAAACAAACAATAATAGCATCATTGTATTACATTGCTGTAACAAAGTAAAATATGACTAAAAGAAAAGTGACTGTTTAAAAACAGATTAAGGAGGTAGCAAGAGAAAAACCACAAGATTACCAGAATATAGAAAATAGGTAGCCTTATCTTATTGTCTCATCAGCCAAGAACAAAGACATAATTTATGAAAAGTAAGGGCAAAACTAAACTTTCTGAAAAAGAAACAAACCAGGTAGATTTAATTTGTGGAACTCCCTGTCACAGTACAACATGCAAAGTATTTGGCAAAATATATAAAAGAAACAAATCTCAAACTTTATATATATATTCTCTCTCTCTATATATATATGCATTATTCATACACTACATATGAAAAATATAACTAGTCTGGGTTGGAAAGACATTGTCCCTGTTGAGAATCAGTACTATCGATTGTGAGTTTTATTTCTTCTTCACTGGCGTAACTAGCACTGGAGCTGACAAACACAAGCTATGGCATGAGTCACTACTAAAAATCTATTTTTTCAAGACAAAGCAAGGAAAAATGAAACTATTTTTCTGTATATAGTAAGCAGACAAAACCTTGATCAAAATGTGATTTTGACTTTATATTTACCTTTGTGGAATTGTATGAAGAATTTACTCGTAGACTGCCTAATTAATATATTTGGGAGGCAAAAGATAACATAGAAAACACAGAAACAGTAGTTCAGGGAATAAATGTGGAATTTATTACACCTTCAGAAACATAGTGTGTATTTTCTATGCCTTCAGTGTACTGACTTTAAGATTCATCAGAGAAGGCATACGCTAGAACTTTGATCAAATTAAATACATATACAGAAATGCACTTGGAAAAAAAAATCCCTTTCTCTTATTCTCTTGGAAAGAAAAGATATTTTCTTTACTTTTTTAATCCAGCAAGAAACCTCAGCAACAGAATGGTGAGTAGCTGGGTTGTGAGAATGTGAGCAGCTGCTGTTATTATAACTAAAGGTCTGTCTACGGCTTGAGCCTGAGAGACCACATGTTCGGCTGTCCTCTCATCTTGCCATCCTCACCAATTAACTATTAACATGGAGGGCTGTACACATGCTCTCAGGGGCTCTTTAACAGGCTTCTTGGAGAGTGGAACAACTACACAGCAGGGCTCTGGGAACTGAGTAATGTGGGGTATAAGGAACCCTCGGCAGCTTTGCTCCTCCTAATGACAGTTTTCTCCACAGTTTAGTGCTTAAAGAAGGATACATGAAGTTTAACAATTTCAAAAAAAAATTAATGCTCTCAAGCAAAGATTCTGGAAATGATGTTTCTTTTTTCTTTGCTCAGAATATTCTAGCACTTACTGTAAAACAATCCCATTAAAATTTAAAAAAATCAGTTATTTAAAAAATGAGATCTATTTTCAATCCGAATTTGATAGGAATTGATTTATATGGAATTTATAAACACAAACTCAAAATCAATTTCACAGGTAAGTTTGCAACAAACAAAAAACTTCATACTTCAGTTTGTTTCTTAGAGATGCTTCTGGACTTCCTCTCTAAAATATGATCATACCTTTTATTGACATAATATATATACAATAACACAGTAAAACCAATTATACTTCCCGATTATGGACAGGTAATTCTAATGTGTAAAAAGAAGGATGCTAGTTTTACATTCCCAAATTCTACTAATAGCATTAAATTTTACTGTCAATCTTTCTGAAGGCAAATTGCCATCTAACATTTAAAAATAGCTAAATAAGGAGATAGAGGTTTGCACTACAAGAGGAAAATTCATAAACTTTTGATTACAACATTAAAACTAGAAAATCAAATTTCTGTATTTTCGAAGCAGTAAGTGCATCAGGTACCTAGATAAATAACATTTGCAGGTATTCAAACACCTTTACAAGCACAATACATCAGTGAGAGTCAGGTACTTACCTAAGAAAGGATTTAATCTAATGGGAAACTCATCTACTATGAAAACATTTTGCATAATACGAGGTTTTATCCAGTACTTTTTTACTACAATCAAATCAAATTAATATCTAATATCTAAAATTATAGGTTCTCTGTTCATTGTGAATACTAATTTTGCTGTTGTAAGTTACATTGCCACTCGCAGAAAAAAAGACTACGTTTTTCCTTTTGCTGAAAAAGTTTATTTCCAGAAGATACATTAAAGTCTCTATATCATTCCAGGAAAGGTGCTGCTAGCACAGCTTCTTATTTTGCAGTGGGAAAATTAGTCTGATACCATCACTGATTTGTTCCTGGTCCCAATACAAGAGGATATTAGAATCCTGGCTTTAAAAACAAGATCACACATCATCATTATGAGTATGACAGATGAAGACAGAGGACTGAAATGTCTTGTATGGAAACTCTGAACAGCGCTCTGAAGGCAGTGGAAAAGTGCACAGGGTTATTGTAAAAATAAAATTTAGAAAGAGATTACTAGCAGGATTCTCTTTGCCTTTTTACAGTTTCTGAAATTTTGATAGTTTTTCAAAAAAGACTAAGACCCACATAAGGCATCTAAGGTATCTAAGATGGTTTTATGCTTAGGTCTTTGTAGAATTTGCAGCACAATTGTCCCACAAAAGTATAGAAATGCTACAGCGAACTTATGTTTTAATTTTGCCCTTTGAACAAAATGAGTTTTCAAAACATCCAAAGTTGCATTTCTTTTCTTACCAAAAGCTTTAAATTTTTGCTAACTGATGTGTCAACTATGAAACACAGTAAAGACAGCATTCCTACCTGGATAAGGTGAGCTGGCACTGTGATGATGCAGGCTGACAGAGATTTTCTGAGAAGGCCACGGAGAACGTACAGAAATTTTGTAAGGCTATGAATATCTTCAGGATTATCACTGCTACAAATGTCATCACCCCACAACATGGAACCCAGACTCTGAATTCCTATCCGCAAAATATTCTTTTGTTTTTTCTATTGAAAAAAAAAAAAGTCACTTGTTATTTTTTTTAAACATTAGGAGGAAAATGTCATGTAATGTATTTAAAAAATATAATTTTTAGAATTTATATCCATAATAATTACATAGTTTAAGTACTCATAGCTTAATCTCAAGATGATTTTATAAAAGTTACACATGGAATGGCATTTTTTTCACTGACTAGATATCATGCTATGTCAGAGAAGCAAGTAAAAGTGCAAAAATCAGCATAGAAATACTGAAAACTACTAATTTGCATCCTGTAACCAGCTAAGTAAGTATATTCTGACACAAAATCCAATAATACTATGATTTTTCATGTCCTTTCTCTCCTCCATCACTGCCTTAAAAAACAGGCAAAAGAATCTTTTCTCCCAGCTCTAAACTGGTCTGCTTGAAGGGCCTGAGAGCAATCAAACACAACTTTCCTCTCTATTTTCAACTTTTCGCTGCATTACTTCCCTAACCTGACTATTCTGACTGTTTGCTTCAGTTTCACTTTTTCTGCTACTTCTAAATGACCAAGATCAGTGGCCTATCTCACCAACACATGGCCCTTTTCACTGTTTTAGAAGTCTTTCTAAGTATTTCTAAGTATCTACCTTCCTGTCAACTCCTTCCAACTAACGAAGAAAGGTTTACCCATAGAGGAACAGAGTTTGATGGAGACATCAGCAGATTGTCTCTTAAGGACTACACCTTTCTGAAAGTTCTTGACATGAGTGTTTCTGGATCTGCTTTAGTTAGCTACTGGGTACTAGAATCTAAGTTGTTTTGACATGTAAAATCCTAAACGGCCTTATGTGTTACCTACTTAAAGACTGCTGCCCTGCAGTATGCTGGCAGAAAAGCAGCCAACAGAGGCAGTGGCTAAGATAAAGCCTCTTTTCTGAAGGGGCAGATTATGAAGTCAGAGTTGTAATTTGTTTGTGCAAAGTAAAATGTCATCTCTCATGATGACAAATCTAATTTCTGCTTATTTGATGTGACCTTTCCTGGTGATCTTTGAAAAGGATTTTAGGTATATTTGCTATCAACAGCTGAGAGAGAGACAATAAGCATCCTTGTTGAAAGACTTCCTGTACGAGGTGATCCAAGATACATTTCTAGTGTTCTGAGTTCATATTTAACTTTTATGTTTTTTATATATAAATATACATATAACTAGTTTATATAAATAAAAGCTTCCAGGTACTTTTCATTACAATGAAGTGCTTTGATAAACTGTAGATACTCATTTCCACTATCCCGAATTGCAGCTGGAACAAACAGTAACTATCAAGCACTAAACACTGCACAGCTGCTCTGGAAATCCAGAGGAAAGGTTTTTACAAGACAAGAGGCTACTCTTATAAATACTTCCTTCTCCATATTGGGCAGACAGAGACTCAGTTGTGAAACACAGTCAGTACCACATGGCTCTGCATTTATCCAACTCTCATGGCTTACACAGCGAGTTGATCTGCCAATTCGTTTACAATTTTTGTGAAAGTGATACATGTTTTAACTCTGGTGGATTCATTAGTCTCAGGCTTTGCAGGCTTTTAGGCTTTCCTCATGTAAAGTGATCTATTTACACTAACTTATGAAGATCTAGATAACAGTACAGGATAATAAGACACAATGTGACTTCTCTGTATGATATTTGTTAGGCTCGATGTTCAGAGTTTTAAAAAGAACAGGAAAAATAGAAGCCAGTCTAATATTCTTTAGTGACTTCTAATCAGAGTAGATTCATGCATTTCTTGATGCGTGTTTATGCAATAGTACAAAATCAGGTATTTAAGAAAACTATTTTACCCATATATAATGCATATTGATCATGCAGATAAAGTGTTCGAGTATTTCAAAATTTCAGGGCAAACATATGTAAAACTTACAGAAACTTCTGTAACGAGAAAAAATATTTTTTCTTATGAAGAATATCAGTGAAAAAACTGTATCAGAATATCAGTTCTCTTATTGGGTAAAGGATGACAGATGCTTGTTTCACAATATTAAATCATAAGATTATGATCATATCTTTGTAAGAGATAAAGCTATTAAAACACTAGATAATATCAGTCGTATTTGTTTTGGCCAGTAACAGAATTTCTACCAGTATAATTCTGTCAGGCCCACAAAGCCCTGACAAATGGCTTATTCCATAATTGAAACATAAGAAAATCATAACTCTAATACTCTGTAACAACAAGCCTGCAGTACAGAGTAAGGTAACATTTTTGTAGATATACCACTAGATTTTTTATTCTCTCATTAGTTTGGATTTTTTTTTTTTTTTACTTTTTTTCATGTAATTTTTGTAACAATGCTTGCTTTGGCAGCAAGAATTATGATTATGAAGAATTAAAAAACTTAAAGCAAACAAAAAACCAATCCTCCTCAACTTTATTACCCTGAAAGTGATCCAACTTGAGCTCCAAAGTATAAAAAAATTTTTTAAGGAAACAAAGCTGCCTATGAAAGTTCTGCTGTCAAACATGAAAAAATCAAAACAACTCTGAAAAAAAAAAAGTTTTCTATTCTGTATGTCTTAAAATCATGCTAAATTTATAAAGGATTCATACTTAATGATCAGCAGTAAAGTTACCAGGAGGTTTTAAAATGGATGTGAAATTGATGGCCATATTTCTAGGTTAAAGGTCATTCAGACTCTGAATTTCCAAATAATTCGTGGCAAAGATGTTTAAGTCAGCGTGAACAAATAGGTTATTGCCTTGGTTAACTTCAACCAAACTCTTCTGTAGCCCAATAGCTCAAACAGGAATTATTGTCATGCACCACAGTCAAAAAAATATTAATCTATGATGACCAACAGCAGATGGTCCTATAAAACACTGTTACCCAATCATACTAGGTCCTAGAGATGCTGTACCATTTTATCAGAGGTCTACTGAACCTCTAATGGTAGTTTTCGCTAATTTTCCTAATGACGTTAAATCTCCGTCAGCTGGGGTAAGTCACATTCTGCTCACCTTTCTCCAGACCCCTCTTCAAATACTGGTATTAGATAAAGAGGAGCCAATAAAAAGGAGTAGTAACTCTAAGTATCATTGGCATATTGATGTGAAAGTAGGCAAAAATGTCTGAACGTTTTACAAGTCAGGTTAAACTTTTCCTTTGAACCCAGATCCAACAAGCAACACATTTCTAGACCTCCAGAGACCAGAGATTTTGGAATGATTATACTTCACAGTATGAAAAATGAAGCATTAATGGCATCAGCTTTTATCATTCACAGACAGCAACTAATGGATCTACCTAAAGTCAGTAAGTAAATCTGCTGAAAGTTCAGTACCTCCCTGCTACATTTTGGCCCTTGCAATTTTCTCCAAACTTCATGAAAGCCACTGTCAACAGGACTCACCCAATATGGAGAGGATTATCTGGGGGGGAAGAACATACATGCACAAACTTCTCAGAAGCTTGTATTATTATTATATACAGGAAAGGACACAGGTCCAGAAGAATACAGGATGGTCCTTACTCTACTATCTTCACATCTGGCTACTTAAAAAGTACATCTGAAAGCTGACTAAATAGAAGGGGATACAGAGTAGCTGAGAGGTGAATTTCTCATAGATTTGGAAGATAAAAAGATCCAAGTTTTATTCTGGGCCATAACTACATTCAACTATGGATATATTTTTAAGGAGTGTGTATTATAATGCTGCTTCTAAATGTACAAAATCTGAGTGTTCAAAGATGATTCGTGGGAAAAAGAGGAATCTTAAAAGAAAGATACCGCTGCAAGAAATCATGCGTTCTCTCCCTTGAAACAGAAACAGCTATGCAAGCGCTAAGGGCTTTCTAGATGGATAAACTGGCTTGAAAAGGGACTCTTCTTCACACTTTTAAAGCTTCACCTCAGAAACTTTTACACGTAATTTAGTGAAAACATACTTCTAACTTTGAGTTAAAGTTATGGTTTTGCTTTACTGACATTAGTAAGACATTTTGAAACAATGAACAACAAGAAAAGAAAATAACTATCCATGATGTTTCATTTTTCCTTGCTTGCAAGCAAGGAAAAATATTGACTCTGACCAAACTTTATTTTCTTTTATTTTCTTTTATGTTTAAAAAAATTCTTGAATATACAAAGGAGTTATTTTCCCATCAGACTTAACTTGTAAGAAAAATAAGAAACACCAGTCTAATCTCTTCAGTAGGAGGTTGTTTGCTGGCTGAAGGCTGGCAGGGTGTTTGTTTCACTCAGCACTGCTCTTTGCAGCTGACAAGCTCTTGGGCTTCCACAGGACCTGTCACCATGCGGGAAGAGCATCTCTGCACACGGTGCGGTACGGTAGGATGACATGCCTGTTGCCATGGCTACCACAGCGAGTGGGGAGAGGTGCCTGTCAGGGACCAATTTACTTCTCCAGACTGGCACTACCACCAAAGGGAAGGCAAGCTCGCCCAGAAACCTCTGCAGAGACTAAACACTGAGCACAAATAACCTAAATTTACACAAAAGCGTTCTGTGCAGGTAACGTTTCTAAAACATACTGCTAGACACAAAAACATTCATTCCAACATTATCTTCCCTGCAAAAGGAGATTTTTAAGATATTCAACTAGTAATAGTACACAGTCTTGTGTTCAGTTCAGTTGCAGCCTTCCAGTACTTAAAGGGGCCTACAGGAAAGCTGGAGAGGGACTTTTCACAAGGGTGTGTAGTGATAGGACAAGGGGCAATGGCTTTAAACTGAAAGAGGGGAGATTTCGATTAAAGGAAGAAATTTTTCACTCTGAAGGTGGTGAGGCACTGGAACAGGTTGCCCAGAGAAGCTGTAGATGCCCCATCTCTGGAAGTGTTCAAGGCCAGGTTGGATGAGGCTTTGAGCAACCTGGTGTAGTGGAGGGGTTCCCTGCCCACAGCAGCAGAGTTGGAACTAGATGATCTTTGAGGTCCCTTCCAACCCAAACCATTCTATGATTCTATTCCTTGAGGTTCTCCAGCATCTATACTAATTAACTTCTACTGTGGTAAAGTTTCTTTTGTACAACAATAAAGATAATTATCTATCAATTAAGCGTCAATATATATAATTTATTTCCATCAACTCCAAAGGACTCACATATTACTGAATACAACAAAGAATAACAGATAAGGCAGTGCTCAAACTAGAAAAGGGCTTTGAGTCTATGCTGTTATGCTGAAAATGTTTTTTATTACCCACAGTATGATTTATGAAGAGTACAGAGATCTTTAGAAGTCTAGTAAGCTGTTTTGACATGTAAAGTTGAAATAGCATTCTTATTTCTTTACTTGTGTTTTAATGCTTACTACATAAAGATGCACACAATTTAATTAATTGAGAAATTCACTCCACTCCAGTTAAAACAATATTGAAAAAATCAGAAAGTTTAAGATTAAATATTCAATTTCAAGAGTCTTAACACATTATTGCTAAAACAAGTTTGAAAAAAAATACTGTCGAGGGAAATATGTTTTGCTTAATTATGCTATATTTGGCAATCCATTTATTAGCTAATTGCACAGAATATGCATTTTACTAATGTTGGCTTACAGTTCTCTCTTGCATGGTCTGCATACCTGTAATAGGTAAAAAACTCTAAATGCACATTAAAATATGACCACACTCACTATTCACTTTGCTTGTTTACTTTAGCAAGGCTTGGAAACAGTTTGTTCCTTGTTACTTCGTCCAAGACCTTCTTGTGCCATGCTTGAAAATTCAGAAAACAACATTAGTTACAGGATTATAGAAGAGTACAAGGGTGTTCAGTACCTGGGGATCAGAGCCATCAAATCCCTCCTGGAAAATGATCCTCTGAATGGACTGAAGCAGCCTTGTGTAAGCAGTGTTCATACTACTGCTGGTAAGAAGAAATAGTTTAGTAAAACATTTTAATAACAGCTGTATTAAAAATAAATATAAGCAGTCCGAAAGTGTCATATACAAAAAAGTGTCATAGAAGAAAAAAACCTAACCCTCTTTGAATAAAGTTGACATTAAAAGCAGCTGTGATTGCTTCATGTTAACTAGTTCAGTGCTTAGACATCTAGTGAAAGCTAAAATCTCTAGAGATTAAGAAAACTTGATTATGTCAGGCTCACTTACATCTAGAAGATTAATGATTTAATGTAGCAACTTCAAGTTGAAACCATTACAGCACAGGACTAATCTTCTATAACTGACAAAGAACTACCCAACTGTTATTCCAAGTATACCTATTCAATGCCCGGAAGAACTGAGCTGACTTTCTATTACTGAAAACTTTCATACACACAAGTGCTACAACAATCAAAACAAACAAAAAAAGGAAAGAGCCAACATTTCCACAATTAAAAAGTTCCTATAGTCTAATTTTATTTTTTTTTAGCATTTTTTTTCTGATACTGCACCAGAGCATAAGATACATTCTACTACGCTATGGTTCCATTTCGTGTCCATACACTACAGGTGTTATTACTGCTTTATTTGCATGACAGCAGAATGGTGAGATAGAATTTATGTATTATTTAGAAAATATAACATAAAATCTAAAAAAACCACGCAAACTGGTGGCTAAAAACAGACTTCAGCAGACTTAAAACCAAATGAAGGCTCTAGAGAACAACTCTTAGGAGAAGCAGAATTAAAGGGTCTCAAAATTAAAAAACAAATACAGAGATCCTTAATTAATTCATCAGAAAAAGATTTGCAGCAAAGAAAGAATTAAAGAAAATAATGTAATGCATATAGATTTTTTAAAAAATGTAAAAATAGGTGCTCTTCTACTTCTTGCTAAAATATTAATGGTTTACTTGAATTTGAACCATGCTATGTAAATAAGGACATGAAAAATATTGTGGAAACACTACTTACAAAAACAAGATGCAGTTCCCTTCTGGCAATGTTTGCCATAATATTTAAGGAAGGAAATAAGATATTTCTTATTTTCTAATTTCTAGTCTTTTTTTGGCTTTGTTACTAAACACCATTTAATTCTGATAATGAGTTTAAACAATTCCTTCTTTACTCTTTTTTTTTGTTAGGCAATTTAGTAATGGATAAAGCAAGAGCTGGCAAGAAGGTATCCCGGTTACAACAGAGCCTCTGACTTCTCTGTTGATAGTTTCTAAGCAGTTAACAAAGGTTAGGTTATCAAGGGTATGACAAATAGCCCTATTATGTATAAGGAGACCCCATTAGGCAAGACAGTTAAACCTGTTTTATCTAAATTTATCGGTAAATCTAGACTCTAGATAAATTTATTCTTTTTCAAAAGCGCATACATTCTTAAGGTAAAACTTACTAGTATTAGTGAACAACTACAGCTTAATTATTTTAGGTCCCTTGTTTACAAATCTCTTTTTGTAGTCACAACTGAACAACGAGGACAGAAGTAGAGTAGAAAGCAAGCCTTTTCTGCGATGCACAGAGTTATCACAGAGGATATTTCTGCCTTCCTGTTAAGCACCAGCTTTAGCAATGCAACTAAAAGGACACCAGAATATCCTAGCAACAACAACCGGAAAAGAGTTGCTGTCAGCTGCACAACCCTGTTAACCTGGTCCCAGCATTAGGGCCAGAACATAACTGCCTTTCCCTAACATAAAAAATAATGAGATAAGAAAGAGAACGTTTATGCCTTCTTTTGGCACCAAACACTCAGTCCCATTTACTACTTCCTTTAGTAGAACAGACTTCCCAATCTGTTTTCAATTAATGTTTATCATGGGGCAGTGAACTGCCACCCATTTTGAGTGATTATCCAAAAGGATACCCTGTAATCTTATTTAGCCATCATGTAGCAGAACTACAGAAAGGAGGGGAAACACAGTACTCATCTCCTGCCGTCAAAGAGCAGATACACACACACGCGTGCAAAAACACAGGAAAGAAAAGAAGAATTGATTCAAACTTTAAGGTGAACAAATGATATATATAACCTCCAAATCTGACCTTCAATTGCAAAGTAAGAGGCCAGTGAGTAACAGTTCTGTCTAATCAGTCAAAGAATCTCCTTTCTTCGCAAGTCCACAAAGAAGCCAAATGCTTGTGTGGACAGGAAGAGAGGGATGAATGTATAGATAACACATGATTTCTGAAGACGGCCAATAGTTCCTGGCTCAAATAAAGCCCCTACATCTCTGATCCTGCAAGTGAAGCAATGTAATTTTCTTGCAACAGGCATTAGCTACAAATACAGAGACAATTCATTCACTGAAGAACAGTTTAAATAAAATGGGCTTCTTAATGTGATGCTAGAGAATTAGAAGTACCAAGACAATTTGGACCTTTTTACAAATACATGGTTCTTATGCCACAAAACATTATGACAAAGGATCTTGCTTATTAAAAGATGCCGCACTGTTTTTCCAAGGATTGTAAAATGTACGTTCACTATACTCACTGTTTCTGTCAGGAATATAGGCTGTACAGGAAAACATGGTACATTACTTTTCTTGTATATTTTCTGCTTTAACTGCATGATCTGTTCTTGCTGTTCCATCACTGAGCGGATGTGAAGGAAGGAGGAGAAAGGAGGAAAGGATGTGAAGGAAGGAAAGGAGAGCAAAGGGTTGCTCTTCTTGCTCCCCACCCCTTCACAAAGAAAAGAAGGGTGGGGGAAGATAACTGTTCCAAATTTCAAGGAGGAAAAATGAAACCTAAGGCCTCCAAAGCTAGTCACCCTCTAACTGAAAAAGAAAAGGAAAAGTAAGGCTGGTCAACAAAGTGAATTCTAAGTGCATCTAACCAGTTATAGGTTAAGTATACTCTTTGAAGAACATAAAGGACATACAAAAGTTGCAGGATCAGGAAAACAGAATAAAAAAACACCTAAAAAGGATAACAGTTAGGCAATGCCTCACTTACATCAGAATTTAATCAAAAAAGTGCAATAAAAAATATACTGAGTTTCTCAGATTTTTCTTTACAATTACTAGCTTGTCACTGCAGAAGATACAGCTTATGACCTCAAAGCAGAATCTGTATGTTGGGTTAGGTACACCTTCCATGATGATTTCCATGACGACTACGTAATTTAAGGTGCCTCTTCAATGGTTATCGTTACAGGACTATATCAACTTATTTCAGCCTGAACTTAAACCATACTGTGCTCTGCTACATTACAAATATTTAGAACGGATCAAGCTAGCTAAAATAATGTGGAAACATTTTGAGAAGAGGGAAAAGTGTTTTGTTTTGTTTCGTTTTTTTTTAGTCCTGCTAATTCCTAATTTTTTGTGAATTCTGATACTATAAAAAGGGTCATCCATCAACAATACCATTTACTTATGGAAAATTATATGCTAGGTAAAACAATCAGTTTCCACTTCGTGGATTCTATGATTCTGTAAATCTTCTTTTGACAAATTAAATGGAAAAAAATAATATTTTAAGATTTTTTTCTGAATTTAAAGTCATTTTTGTAACAATTTTTTTTAGTTCCTTCCAGGCTATCAGTACTTTTTCTGCAGTACTGTCAGCCTAAGAGATTACAGAGATTTTGCAAAGCTATATAGGTAATTAATTAGCATTATGCAACCAGGGTTTTTTTTGGCTATGCATCTAAGACCATAGTCTGAGAACCTTATGTTTAAGAAATTATATCCTGGAGTGGAGACATGCTAACCAGCCATGTCCATGCTCCTAGTTCACTGTAATACAGAGCAAAAGAAGCTCTCAGTGGGACCTTGTAGCAATCAAAGATGAGGTCTATAAAAACTGTTGACTTCCATTGGAAGGGTTAACTGTGACTATCATAAAACTTTCTTTCAAATCATTGTCTAGCTGGCAACCCAGCTGGCTTGTACTGGTAATTACCTAAGGAAGGTTTAGGCCCTGCCTACAAAAAGTGAGCCATTTCCTCCTGGCTGTGGGAGATGCAATGACATCCTTAGAGCTGCTGCCTAGGCTGGTGAGCATCATTGGAGAACAAAGGTTCTTCCTACTTTATGATACATTGAAGTTAGCTTTAGAAGCTAGAAGCACTGTATTGATTTTCCAAACAGTAATGCCAATAAAATATCCTTTCTCTCCCTCTTTCATAAACTTTCTTTAATGAAATCATCCTGACAGGATTGTGAGCTTGTTTTTGTTCCTTGAGACAAGAATGCTTCCCTCAGAATTTCATCACAGTATTTGTAAAGCCTCTTGGGTTTCTGTAAAAGCATAAACATTTTGTGAGCAATGAAATAATTGGTAACATTCATACTTATTGTGTATGTATGTATGTATTATTATTTCATACTAATGTGTATGAAAGAATCACAGAAGATAGGGATGAAAAGGACCTCAAGAGGTCAGGTAGTCTATGTTCTTGCCCCAAGGCAAGATGAACTACATCTAAACCATCTTTGACAGATATTTACCTAACTTGTCCTTAGAAATTTTCAATAATGGAGATTCTACAGTACTCCCAACCTGTGTCTGCAAGGCAACTTCTTCTTATGCTAATCATTAGAAAAATATCTCCTTATTTCCAGTCTGTATTTCTACCGCTACAGTTTACTGTAGTCCATTGCTGCTTGTCCTACCTTCAGCAGACAACAGAGCTACCACCCTCTGTATGTCAGTTTTTAATGTGATTCAAGACTCTGCATGGATTTGTCTAAGAACTTCCAATTCTTCTATCACAGGCCATATATCCCAGTTCTAGATGTATACTCATCTTCACAATCTTCTCTAACTGAGCCAGAGTTTTTTTGAAGGATGCTATCAAAAACTGGAGTCTTGTTACGGCTAAGCACATGAGAAGTATTTTGCATGTCTTCCACATTAAATTCCAGTTTATCACCTCCATGCTTTTTAAATTATACTTTTTGGTAGCATTAATCACACAACACTGCTAACATATTTTATGTTCAAGATACTTTATAACCCCAGATCATCTTCTGCAGACCTCCTACACTATTTTATTTGTTTTATTAATTTTTCCTACTAGTATGATATTTGACATGTCTTCACTGAATGCCATATAGAATCATAGAATGGTTTAGGTTGGAAGGGACCTTAAAGATCATCTAGTTCCATCCCCTCTGCCATGGGCAGGGACACCTTCCACTAGATCAGGTTGCTCAAAGCCTTATCCAACCTGGCCTTGAACACTTCCAGGGATGGGGCATCCACAACTTCTCTGGGCAACCTGTTCCAGTGTTTCATCACCCTTATTGTAAAAAAATTTCTTCCTTATATCTAATCTAAATCTGCCCTCTTTCAGTTTGAAGCCATTGCTCCTTGTCCTATCACTCCATGCCCTTGTAAAAAGTCCCTCTCCAGCTTTCCTGTAGGCCCCCTTTAAGTACTGGAAGGCTGCAATAAGATCACCCCGGAGCCTTCTCTTCTCCAAGCTGAACAGACCCAACTCTCTCAGCCTGTCTTCATAGCAGAGGTGCTCCAGCCCTCGGATCATCTTTGTGGCCCTCCTCTGGACTCGCTCCATCAGCTCCGTGTCCTTCTTGTGTTAGAGGGCCCCAGAGTTGAACGCAGTACTCCAGATGGGGTCTCACCAGAGTGGCAGAACACTTCCCTCGACCTGCTGGCCACGCTTCTTTTGATGCAGCCCATATGCTGAGCTGCATCAAAATATATAGTTTATTTCAGATTTATTAGTTTAGTTATTATTATTTATGGTTTATTCCAGATTTATTAGTTTATTTATTATTATTTAGAGTTTATTTCAGATCACTGACTTAAATCTTCTTGAACTCTAATTCTGGTACCTAATCTGCATGCAATTATTCCTTCCACTTTTTTCCAAATCTGACATTACGACTGCAATAGAGATACCCATTGCTCAGGATATATATCAAGCCAAATTAGTACTAGATTATTACTAGACCCAAAACTGGGATGAAGTCTAGTACTTCAGTCCGGTTCAGCTGTGACTCAATGACATCTTATTTAGAAGATAAGGATTTAACAATCAACATGACAAAAAGAAAACTGCCAAACCAGTCCATGTTCCTCCTTTGACATGACAGCAGACTTTATCAATGGAGAGTACCTCCTGTTTTATTTCAGAGCATTTTGACTCTATCCCAGTTGAATACCCATAAGCAAACAAAGGAAACACATACTGGGTTAAACTACCCTAGAAGCTTGAAAATAGATTATATTATTTTTTTCTGGGTTTTTTTTTGAGCACTGATGTTATCCCACAGATATCCTCACCTTCTCCTCTCCTTAAAGACAGTCACTGCTTTGGCCTTTTTGATTTTGTAGAACTTCGACAATATTTTATGTTTTACCGATGAACTTCATTAGCTCACAGCTTGAAAACACTTACATGTTTTCTAACCTGGTCTTTCCTTACGTAAATTGTGTAGTCCAATTTGCTGATATTAACTGTGCCAGGTGCAGATCAATTTGGGGATTGAGGTAACAGGAGAAGCAGCTTTTCTCCACTGTTATTATTTTTTAAGAAGTCCAGTTATACAAAACTGATGAACAGAAGTTGAAATTATAATTCAGTTTATTTTTTAAATGTGTGTCAAAATTAAATGACTGTAATTATGGGAAGCTTAAATCTTCCATGTCTCTACAGAGAAATAAGCTTTATTTCAGAGGCTGTAATTCTGAAAAATTCTTTTTCCCACCTTGTCTTAACCTTGACCTAGCACAACATTTTTAATATAGGGAACACAAAACCAGTGGTGTTTGTGGTCAGGAAAGACAATATTCAAAGTCAGAAGATCTACTGTAAATGAAGAAAGAGACGTATACATCTCTTCACAGTTCCACAGATTTCTGTCTGAGAGTTCACTATGCCCAATATTTTCATTATTCCTCCCTGTTCCTTATGACATTGTGTTGTGGTCTAAGAAAATGATGTTTAGAATGGTGGTTGTCTGTTACTTTGGTACTTGCTTTTACTCCCAACAATACAATTCTTTCATTTCCTCAGGAGAGGTTTCCTGAGACCCGTGTTGTGGGTGCATGGAGAAGAAAAGGAGATAAGCCTTCCAAAATCCATGTTTATTTGATCATGTTCCGCACCTCACCACTGCGCTCTACCAATTTGCCAAGGAAATTAACTAAATCTAATCTTTCTGTTAGATTCAAACTAAAAATAAGTATAGAATTAATATGGTAAGAACGATGAACTTTTATCAGGATAGCACACAAGGAAAATATCAGAGTTAAGCAAGGCTCATAAAATCAAACACATAAAAGTCAAAGTCCACCTCCTATACTAAACATATGAGTTAATTTGATTTTAATACAAAATGTACAAATACTTGACAGCCATATAGTTAGTGGAATCAAGCCCAGAGTCATGAGACATTCTGGTTAGCTACAGAAAAGACAGAAAGGAAGTTAAATTGCTCAGTAACAATATAAGCACTTGCAACCTGTCAGATACTCTTGTGTCTATCCTCTATGGCCCTGCTACTTAAAAAAATAATAATTATACATAATATATATAAATAAAGTTAGTTCAAATATTTACTATAGAAATAATAAAATGCAAGTCCTCTGCTTTGTCCTGAAAGTGTATTTCTTTTTTCAAAAATTTGCAAGGATTTCCTTTACAAACCAATCACTTTTCATCATGTAACACAAAAATAAATTACAGAGAGACTCGGCTTTTGCTTTTCTACAGCTCTAAGAAAGGTGCTTCATACTGCCCCTTTTTCATAAATCTCAGGTTTTTTATTTGAGTGTCCGGTAATTAAAATCAATCGCAATAAAGCATACTGTACTACTATTTGCAGGAGTTGGCCCTATACACTAGGATCTATAAAACTTAAGTATTATATAAATGAAGTGACCGGGCTGAACAAAGAGCTTGCTAGCCCATATTTGATGTCTGACTTGACTTGAAATGTCTCCAAGAAAGATACAATGGATGTGTGTGCTACAGGCTAATACGAGTCTTCGCTACTGTCACTCATTTTCTCTTGGTCTTCCTTACTTCACTACTGATAGACATAAACTATAATAAGTTATTCATTCAGAGAAGGGTTTATGATTTTCTCTGGAATTAAGGCTGTTGTGTAAGACACAATTAGCGATTGTAATTCTGTTCACAGTATTTTGTATTTTCCTTAGGTGAAGCTGTAGGATGTAAGAAGTAAAAGTCACATAATAAACTAATCTGATGCAGCATTCTAAGCTATGTAGGTCAAGGATGGCCTGTCTTCTTAGCCCTAAAAGCTGTATGGATATCTTCCTAAGACTCATAGCCACCTGACACACACATCTCCAAAAGCTGATGGGGCATGGTTCTCAGGGAGTAGTTCACATACAGATAGTAATGGTCTTCCCAGTCCCCACACTCAGCTGTCAGTAGAGCTGGACTGAACATGCAGCTGTGTCCTAGACTGTCCTAGTAATGTCTGCCTTAGTTGCCCCTGCCAACTTGCTTCCTCCCACAGCTGAGGAGTCATATACTGAGCTGTCTATACACCACAGCAGCTTTGCTGCCAGTCATGGCATGTAGCACTGGCATGGGAACCACAGCTGAACTGCTTGTGAGCCATCCATGGCTACAAGGTTTTTCACAGCAAGTGTAGATGCAAAAATATCCTTTACTGCTAATATGCAAACAAAATTTGAATGCACAACAGAAGCAGGTGGTATTACAACTTACCATGCTTTCATTTTAGGCTGTAAAGATGATTCTTCAGGAAGGTAAAAACTGTGCCATTTTATGGACTGAAACAGTTCAGGAGGCATTGTTTTAGAAACATCATAATAATGGCCAAACTTTGTAGATGTTGTTGGGCTGGCCTGTGGAAACAACAACAGTGATTACAATAACCTATTAAATTATTATCTGTCAAAAGAAAATAATTAACTAGCAATACACTTGAAAGAAACCTCTGTGTTTTTTTTTTCTCTATTCAGCCTAAGTATAAGCTTCAACTAGAACAACAATGTAATATTTACTACTAAGTTTTGGTTCCTCTGTTGACAATCTATAACGTGAATTTTTCACACAGAATTCAATCCTTGCTGTTTCAGGTTCTATCACCAAAGTGCAGTCAGGTACTTAAAAGAATGTATTTTTGCCCATTCTAGACATATGATCATGAATTTCAAAAGGCCAGATATATGAAATGTGCAGATCATGACATGTTCCACCTATCGCATTTTTCAGTATCTAGGAATTATATGGTGCTACAGAAACATTTTCAGCTGGCTTTGAAAATGTTTCACTTTGTTTACTTAAGATCAGGAAGAAAAAATACCATTGCATCCTCATATATCTGATTTTAATAGAAAATTGTAAAAAAGAGGAAACAGTTAAAAACTACTATTAATTTATCAAACTTTTAATAAATAGCAGATTGAGCATTACACAGACATTACACACAATAACCATGGTTTACTATAATGAAGATACTTTTTTTATCAGCTCTCAATTTTGGGTATACAAACCATCATAAACCCCACAAATTTAATACACATCATAGCAGGAATTACAAATTTTGAATATGATTTGCTAGTAAACAAACAGAGGAAACGAATGCATATTTTTATTCCACATTAAGGGAGTTCAGCATGCAACCTGCAACATTATTTTAATTACACATGTAATGTTAAAAAACACCTAGACAGTTATAATGTGCAGTATTTAAGTATGTAGTAGCTGTCTGCTATAGGAATTGAACAGTTTTTTCTCTTCACATATAAATTAATTTTCTTTATCTTTTCTGCCCTTCCCATCAAAAAAAAAAAAAAAAGGTATTCTTGAAAACATAGTCAAGTAGAGTAAACCTCAAAGGCAAGTTAGTTTCCTCCAGGGAAGGAAAACACTTTGCACAAATGTAAACCACTATATAGTATTTTTTAATATACACACTGTAAAGGAGTAACAGATTACCAAAGCAATATTAAAATTGATCTTTACGTTATGGTATAAACATCACTGTGCTCCTGATCAGATTCTCTCTCATCAACTATTCTAACTCTTTTGAGGAAAAAGAAAGGTCATTCAGATTAACCAAACAAGTTTTGTAATACAAGTATCAAACAAACCATAATATTTCTAACCGGTAAGACGCCTGTACTGAAAAAGATGCTGGGTCCTAGACTTTTAACAGCAGCTTTGCAGACCAAAAGAAAGATCACTTGTTAGTTTATTTTAAGGACAACTACCCTAAGCCTGGACTGCATCTGAAGTGTGCATGGAATGCGTAAATATATTTTAAAGTCATTTTTGTATCTCCCAACTCCAAGACTTAGTGTTAAGCTGAATCTCCCAAAAGAGCCAAGAGCGGCCTCACATATTAAATGCTAAAGTATTAAAATAAAATGGAATATCTCAATGGTTGTGAAGAAGAACAGATGAGACAGAAGAGGTAAGAGTGGCAAGAAAGAGAGATGTTGAAGGCATATTCACACTGCGGAAGAGAATGTCTTTTAAAGGTTGTTCTGAAGAAAAATTTGGATTGGTAGGTAAAATGAAATGCTATTTTGTTTGTACTTACAAGTATGGGATTACTTTTCAAAAGTGACCAGAAATGCCCCCAATAAATTAAAAGTTTCTCAGCAGGTTCTGTAACAATTTAGAACATTGTATAAAAGGATTTTTCTTTTAAGCAGGTCAATGCATACATTTCATCCACTATCTGAAAGCTGAGCAAGGTTGTGTGTGTATGCAATGAAAATTATTTGGAACAACTTCTGCTCCTATTTCAAAATCTGTTATTCTTGCTATATACAGGAATGATGACAGGTACATTGAATTATTACAATAATGGGATCCAAATAATTTTTAGTGTGTTGAGCAACAAATTATTTAGTTCCAACTCTGATTATTACAGAAAGCTTGAGGTTTTCATAAACCTTGATCTTGCTAATAAAACAAGTACTATGACACTAAAAAGAAAGAATACAGGCATGGCAGACATGGTCATGTATTTCTAGTTAGCTTTTTGAAAGTAATCATGCTATGTATTTCCACAATTTTATTTCATGCTTCAGCTTACCAAAAATATATTGAACTGTTAAGATTAATTAGAATAATTTGATTTAGAGTAAATATTTTGAAATTATTTGATTAATGGATGTTAGGCCTGGTCAAGTATCAGAGAATATAACTAGTAACAATTCAATATCTTTCCTACAAAAAAAATAGAATAATCAAACTAAACCCAAACTTTTCATTTAAAAAATTTTATTTTTTAGTTAAAAAAACCACAAAATTGCTCAAGTATATCTAGTCATAAAAGTCAGATCAGTTTTACTGAAAAAAAAGATAGAAAAACATATTCTCTAAGTTAGTGTTCCAATTTATCAGGACCTGATTTTTAAAGAAGGAAGTCCAACAAAACATAACAATCTATCAAAATCTAAATATTTTTAATGTAAAATTTAACTTTATTTAAAACGAGGATTCTGAAAGCAATTTAAACAGGGGCTGTTCTTTGGCCTATAATCTATTCTTTATCCGGATTACAGATCAGAATGTTTTTACTGCAATCTCTGCCAGAGCTCATCTTTTTATTGTGTACTTCCAAGCCCCCTTAATGTTTTAGAAAGGCCTTGACTAACTGAACTTTGATCTGATGTCTTCATTGAGAAAAGCTCCAGGTTGCCCATTTCAGATGCAAATCCTTACTGAGATCCAATAGAGTTTAGTAAAGACAGCAAAAAGAAGAAACAAGAAGTTTCCAGGATCCTCTTTGAGAATCCTGAGGCACATTGGTGTCCTTAATCCACCCTGCTGCATGGATTAAGGTAGGTGATAACCTCTCTTGATTCAAAAGAATAAGCACAGTGCCTACAAACTGGGTGGAGACTGGGATTTGGCTATAATAAAACACCATGCAATAAAAGCTCGGTCCATGTCAGAAGCCGATGAATAGGCCTCAATGTACTGCATTCCCAGGCTTAGCGGGGAAGCTTGCAAAAAGCCTACCTGAATCAAGTAAGCATGAATAATCTGCCTTAGCAGAATGACCATGCAGAGCACGAAGCAGAGACCTTCCATTTCTCTTAAGTTGGATCTGATAAATTTATTAGTGGATTGGGGGCTCAAGCCTGTTCTTTACCGGATTCCTATTTTGCACAAGGAGAAATACACTAAATTGTCAGTGAGCAGAGCGTGCTTTTATGCTACCGTCTGCTGTTAATGTTTCTAATTGCAATACTAATGTGCTAGAAATCTCAGATTTAGGATGAATCAAGGCAGAAAATTGATTTCATGCTGTGACAGTTTATATATTGCCCCAAGAACATAAGCAGTTCATTCAAAAAAAAAAAAAAAAGAAAGAAAGAAAAAATCACACTGTCTTGCATTGCAAAATAGGCTATCCATATACTCAAAAGTTTAAATGAAATTAACCTCTGATACAGATGAAAGTAACAAACTGGCAAAGGCACATCAAGCACAATGAGACCTGTTACTCTGGAAGATTTCTTATATATCATCTCTTTTTCTGACACACAAGGCATATGCAATATGTAAAGAGAAACTGTGATAGTTCTGAAGAGTATCAATATAAATGCCATGTGTAAGAACAACAACAACAAAAGAATTACCTAACTAGTCCATAAGAGGTCTAATAAATAGGAAAGAAATATCTGAACTGTTAACAAAAATCTCTTTTATTACTTAGAAATAAAAACTAAATTAGACACCAAAAATACCATGAAGATAGCATTTACTCAGCATTCTTACTTCATGTAAAGCCAGGTATTGGATGGAAAAGTTTTCTCCTAACATGTTTAGAGTTAGTTAAAAGCAAAGGTATTTTCGCTCTTTCATACTTGAAACTATTTGAAAATGTACTAGTTTATTAGTTCAATCAGTTTGGAAAATATGCCTTGAAATTTTATTGAACACTATTTTTCTGTGCCAGAAGAAAATTTAAAGAATAAATCACAATGGAAGTTGTTGATTAAATGATAGTACTAAGTGTACTAAACATCCAGGGTGCTGCAAGGCAACATCAGATTTTTCCTCAATGGAGTACATTCACCAATCAAATTAATTTAACACACCACCAAAATTTGTGATAACTGTATTATAAAATATTGAAAAATATAAATTTCAAACCTATTTTTCACTAATCAGAATACTCTGAGGAATTTTAGGTATAGAAAGAATTAGACTTTTATTTTCAAGTTTGTTTTTTTTTCAATAAAGTTAACATAGGCATAAAAAATATTGTACTTCAACTATTCAGAATGATCAGCATGCAATTCAGAAAATGACAACGATAATAATGGGAATATCCCGCAAAAGATTGACCCTTTTACTCCGTCTTGCATAACCAAATTTCAAATTTGAGGACAAGTACATTATGTATTGTAGAGGAATATCATATTAGTGGACGAAGTGATTACTTCTATGACGTTATAGAGGATGAGTGCACACATAAATGGGTTATTTATATGTTTTTCTATTTTGTTACAACATCGGAATACTATTTGTTAACTACATGCAACTGTTTCTGCTAGATTTTAAAACAGACAAATTATTTTGGGGATGGTTCAGAGTGGCACGGCAAGCTCCACAATAATAAAATTGATGAGATTATATGATTACCCTGGAGGCTGTTTGATTTGGCATGTCACCATATATAAGTCTTTTCTGACACAACTGTATAGCCATGTCTGTGCAATTTCACAGAAAACCAAACATGCCAAGCCTTGTAAGATCATTTTGTCACATTCCAATTATGTTTTTTAAGAATACAACTGAACTTACTAGGCAGTTATGACTACATCTAAACCACAGTTTATAAATGTAGGCTAAAATGTATAGACAAAACAAGTTTTTTTTTGTTCTGGAGAGTCAAAAATGCTGTGATTTTATTAAAGATTGATCGTGCCACTAGATTAAATAAGAAAGTCAACAGCCATGGGAGATATATATTATTCACAAAACACTAACAACTGTAAACTCTGAAAGACTGACCACTGGGCTTGTTTCTTGTATTCTTCCTGCACAGTGATTAGTTTCTAGTGACAGTGAAGCTGATATAATCTCAAGTGCTTACTTTAGTTGTTATGCACATGGATAAGCAGGTCAACAGCTTGCTTCCACACAGTACTTTCACTACAGAGATCTAGTAAGTACTGTTGATTAAACCTCCTTAAGTAATTTGTGTACAACTAAATCTGGGCAAAGTTTGTAAGTGACCAAATTATTTGAACTTTCATAAAAAGCTGTCTCAATTTAATACTACTAATTGAAAAATCCCACAGTACTTTAATGTCTTTTACTTTTAAATTATCATTGCCTGTATTAAGTTTTACAGTTCCTGCAAAATCTCAAATTTCCTTTCTTTCTGTATCTGTGATAACTTACTCTCAGGAGGCAATCCTGTAACATTGCCCATTAGCAGTTTCGTTGTCTAGATTCTACTGAAAAGCATTTGCTCTGCAAACTCATTTTGACTGCAAAAGGAAAAAAGTATGAAATACTGATTACCTCCATTTTCGGTAAATTTTGGTAGCGCCAGGCTATTTTCATAGAAGCCTGAGAATCTTCAGACTTAACAGCTGTTGCTTCTTCTCCCAATTCATTTCTGTACGTATCATCAAGTAAAGGGGCTGGAAGTTCCTACAGGTAGAGAATGTAACAATGTCAGTTATCTACAGTACAAATTACTTAAAGCAGTTCAGATTTTTATCCCCTCAAAAAAAAAGTTAGGTAATACACTTAATACAATGGACAGTTATAAAATCTGTAACAAAACTTGATTAAAATAACTGTTCTGAAAGGTTGGGTCCTCCTAATACTGAGCATGAAAAACTCCATGTAATTATTATGGGAAAAATTAATTATAGAAATATAAGAGAAAGCAAAATGGAAATATCACATTGTATACCATACTACAGACAAACAACGCATCTTGAGTAGCATTCACATTCCTTTTTTTTTAACCTTTCTTCAAATGTCGATCTCCTAAACTATTCTGTTTCTGAGAATAGAATAGATAAGTTCTCTCCATCGTGAATTTAAGCCTATTTGATAATAAGATCACTTTTGTTTGTTAGCTTCTGTAAATCTTTTAAAAGTATTCAACAGACCACAATAGCCTACAGACACAGACTGAAAACAACAGTAACAGGATGTTTTGAATTTTCTCTTCTGCTGACCATTAGGCATGATATCTACTAATGCTAGATACCTCATGAACACAAACAAGAGAGCAAATGGAAGGGGCAAACATTTAATCCTTGAATTTTTATAAGTTTCTAATGCAAACATTTCTGGCTTAAAAAAAAAAGAGCACTGCACACAGGTGGATTTAATTTTTGTATGAGGACAGAACTGCAGCTCTGACTTAGGTCTAGATTAGGGACAATGTTTTATTACAGACTTTCTGCTTTCTACCTTTGTTGCATTGCCGAAAAAGTAAACAGCACTGGGTGGATATCGAGCACAGCATTCAGAATTTATGCAATGGGCTTCTACATCTACTAAAGGAATGAAGTGCAACCAAGTTTTCCGACCCAACTTTATCACCCATCTGTGTAAGCTGGAGGGCACAAGAACTCTTTATCTGCTTAAAAGAGATGAAGACTTATTTGCAAACTAAGTTTTCATTAAGCAAAGACTGAGAGAGAACTGAAATTAGGTCTCAAGGGTGAAAAATATATAGAGCTAGCCAGTATCTCTGTTACAAGGTATTAGGTGTGAAGACATAAAAACCTAAAATTTGAAAGCTTTAGGAGAATCTCAACTGAAATATGGGATACACATGAAACACTAAACATAGGCAGAGTTGATACTGACTATAAACATCTAAGTGACATTCACAGCTTCACGTAGGCAGACATGGTACAAACAGACATGCATAGAAAGACAACAATGAAAGTTTAAATTAATCCATTTTGGGTTTAGTATTATGCTAATTCAGTATTAAAGAATACGGGAGAGAAAACCTTTATAACCTATAATTCAAACATGTTATTTTTGTTTCTTTAGTGTAAAATAACATTAAATGTACAATTATTGACGAAATTGAGAAAAAACGTTCCTAACTTCAGGACAGTTGTTTCTGTTTCTCTTTCAGTGGTTGGTCATACACTCTCAGAGATAAAAGGCAATAGAAGCTATGAAAACTTTTATGTTCTTCTTCAATGAAGTCGCAGAAATAGAACAACAGCACCTACGTGTTTCAGCAGCTAAGCAGAAGATGCAAGCCACGCCTTTGAGCTAATAATTTTATTTTATTTACTTTCTTTTTGCAAATGAACTACAAAAGCCTGGTAAAGGCTCTTAATGAGAATGATTACGTACAGAGTTAAGTTTTCAGATTTCTTACAGCTTGTTTAAAAGATACACTTGTATACAATAAACTCATCTTACTATGGTTGTAAAAATTAAGCTTTATGGGTACATAAATGGGTACATATATGGGTACATATAATACAAAGATTATAATTTCAAGTTAGTATTTACAGCTTTCATTACATTTACAGATTTATAACAGATGTTTCAGTAAAAAAAGAAATTCACTTTTGTCAAGGCTTCCTTATAACTACTCAAAAAGAAAGCGGGGAAACGTTCAAACCAAAGACAAAGATTTGTGACAGATAGCGAAAACAGAACACTAATGAAAGGTTCTTGGAAAGTATAAATACAAACACGAGCTGACAAACATGTCGATGCATTTCATGTATATGCAGATGCAAATTATTTGCATTTACTTCTGAGAGCATTATATAAAGGATTTTTCTAAAAAGAAAGGTTGAGTTTTTAATTTTATAACTCAGATACCCACAATAAAGTTAATTAATCTTATTTTCCAAGTAAAGTGCTATTTTGAAAACAAATTACTGAACAGTTAATCTATTATGCAGATTTAATTTCCTAATATGGTTATTCATAGATTTAAGCTGGCTAAGGTAAAAAGGTCTTTCTTTTTCAGTGAAGAGCTGCTGTTATGTGATCACCTCAAAACATTGCTCAGTTATAGGAATCAGAAAAATAAATAAAACCATGATTCTAAAACCAACTTTCTTTTTAAAAAGTGAGTTCTGTAAAGGAATAATTCTGCAGGCCAAAACAACATTTCCAGGTATCTCTTCCTTTCATTCGCCAAGAACAACTGGCTCCCAGGTGCTACCTGCAACTTTTTATAGTGGTGGGCAACCTCTGTTCTTCTGAGAACGAATGCTCACCACAGTTTGGAAAAGATCATTTAATCAAACTCCCCGAGTTTGCCTCTGCTTCAGATCCTCCCACTGATATAACCAGTTGCTACCTCATCCTGCTGTAGTATCCCTGGACAGCTATTACATCATCCACGAAGCCAAAATTCAGCAAATGGCATATTTTACCATTCACTTTTACTGTAAGTAAAGAGAAAACCAGCACCAATATTTTCTTAAAGCTATTTAATATTTTTCTCCTCTAGAATCACTGCAAATGCCTGTGACTTGTACTACTGGTTCATTGTTATTGTATAACAAGTAGCAAAGACAAATATAAGCCAGGGGCATTTAGCTACATACATTTGCTTTTATATAGTCACACATAATGTGTTTTACACAGAGACTGCATTTTACACTAAAATAGAACAGAGGTCAAGACAACAAGGGGTGAGAGGTTCTCCAAGTATTACTGATAAAGTACAGGCTACTTCAATACCCTCATGTAACACTGAAAAAGATTCCTGTCTTGCAGTCAAACACAGAACAAATCCTTCTTACATGGCACTATATCAAAGGGAGACGTTACAAACACTAGCTGTTGACACCCGAGAAGCTCAGTCCAAAACAATCAGCAACAGACACACCATCAGTGCAACACAATTAGGCACTGTGGTATGCCTTAACTGTGGCTAAGAAGGAAGCAGATTAAGAGACAGAGGAAAAACGATTCCACCTGAAGCTGATAAAGATTTTGGCTGCCGGAGAGGAAAACCTATCTAAGTATCCATCTGCAATAGCCTTTTGTGCCCACATAGTTTACTTTTAACTTCTGACATGATAAAAACATTCTGACAAAATAAAAAACTTCTAACATTATAAAATGATTGTTTAAACAGGACTAAATTCACACAAAGCAACACGACAAAACCCGTGACTCAGTACCATGGCGGTTAGCATATACATCATCTTAGGTCAGTTTTATGCTGTATTATCCCTTGCTGCCCCACAGAAGCAATCAGGAGCACTTGAAGAAATCTATCATAGCAAGAGCAACTTTTACTTCCTCAGTTGCTTTTCCAAAACGCATTTACCCAATAACTACCACGTTCAGCTGAAGAATATGTCCCTTAGATGTACCACGTTCTTGTTCCTGTGGAAGAAACAGGTTCACATGATGCACTGAGACTTAAGGTATTTCTAGGGCTAGCAGGTCTCACAGCTATATAATTTTCTATCCCAACAAACACTTTGCTCTAAAGCAAACATATCCTGAAGCACATTCTTGCACGTGGTGGTTATGACATTTACGGCCTCTTAGTAGGCTTTCATACATAATGGAGCTGCAATCTGGAAAAGGTAGTCTGCCTTTGGAGCTGACCGGTATTTTGAAGACCAATTGCTTGAGCTCCACTTGGTATATTAACTTGGTAAAACACATTCCAAGGTGTTATACTTAAGCACAAATAGGAAAAAAAAGTCCCAGTCCTATTCATGGTCTATCTATAATTTGAACATATTTTATATAAAGATTAATGAACAAAACTAATAGAGATGGTTTACCTCCAGATTTGCATTCTAACTTTATTGCTATTACCCCAGCTTCTGTCTACCCTTGCTTCCCTCCCATCTACACTAAACTGTATAAAAGAGGGCAAAACATGTGGCTGCTGTTTGAAGCTATGTCTACGTTGACTAGAAGCCACCACGTATGCATTCATTACCCTGGTAAAAGACTAAACAGAATACATAAGCAATCGCTAATGTTGTTTTTCCTTAGGATGTACTGATTCATATATCCCAGTCCATAATTTTCAAAAATCTTTTAACTAGATCTTTGTATAAACACATTTGGAAAGGGCGGGAGCTTAAAATTGGTTAGTAGGCTTGGGACCGGGAAGAATTACAAAGAACAAAATTATAAGCCTGCTTTATGGGCAATATTGGAAATATTGAAATTGAAATGACCCAAGCATTTCTTATCTTCATATCCTCTTTCTATCTTCATGATAACTAGAACTGGAATAAAAGGTTTTCCCGTCTTCTGACATTGCAAATCAAATGCTATTCTTTGTTTCAAGGAAAAAGCTCTTTCCAAACCTGTCCATGCCTGAGTGATACAGAGTACTAAGTGAGAAAAAGTCTCCAGTTGTCATAACATAGGTACATTCTCAAAGATAAAGCCTGGCTGGTTGGATATATACTTCACAACTCTTCAGTGTCACGAAAGGTTTCATTAGTGTCCAAGAACTACAAAGCATTCATCACTTCTCAGATTGTTGTTAAAAAGAGAAGGAAAAAGAGAGTTATAGAAAGGGTAAAGCAGACCAGCAGCCAAACTAACCACAGAACATTGGCTTCTTTGGTACAGTTATACAAAAATTGAACTGAAAACTTTACAGCAGAACACATATGGAGAGCAGTGGAGGACACACGTTTCTGTAAGTGACATTTAAAGAT